GGTCTTTTAAGTCTAGGGCCTGTCGGTTTCTTTACGTGAGGTGAGCGCAATCGATCACATCTATTGCCCTAGAGTTAAAAGACCAGCCCAATAGTCGTTGGGATACTGGGATTCAGATTATTCGGCCAGGTCAGCAAATTTGCTGACCCGAGCATGGGAGAGTGTCATTTCCCAAAAACCGAGATCACATGGGAGGTTCCACGTGGGAACTCGACCTCGGCGTTGGATGATGTTTTTCCGAATAACTTCAAACGTAACCTTTAGTCATTCGTATTGGGGAGCATTGGAGATGCTCTAATAAAGGAAAGCCGAGGTGTTTCTTTCGCAGGTGGACCCAGATCAGGCTGTCTTCTATATACATATATAAGGAGCTTTGGACATTGGCTTTCTGTTACCCACAAAGTTTTCTTATTCTCCTTCTCTTCTCTCACTTCCCAATAATGCAGCTCCTAATCGTCGTCTCCGCCGTGCTCTCACTGCTTGCAAATGTCTCTAATGCTTCTCATGTCCCTCTCTTCAAACGTCAAAGTTCCAATTACCCAGCCTTGGATATCCCCGGACCCACCCCGAAGCAGGAGTGGGTAGATGCCTACCAGCGAGAAAAGGCGGCCGGTCGGATTCCTAACATTCAACCTTCAGTCAAATTACCTTCTGGAGATACCAAATATCCAGCGAACGTGAACCCCTTGGACCCAAGTGTCTGTAGTTGGACAGTGGGATGTATAAGTCCTACTGAGTTGAGGCTGTTCGCTTGTTCAACCTGGATAGCATGAATATTAAGAATCGTTTTTCTCTTTGGCATGGAACCAGTGTCAATGATGCTCCGGACGGGATGATGGGTATCAGTTTGTTAGTCACCCATTTCATATCAGACAAGGGCTTAGCAAATGGCGGAGGCAAAGGTCATAGGCTGATGCGGAATTGTGTATTAGTGACGATGGGCCACAGGGAGGAACCGCTGAACTTCTGCAGTTCCTTGAGTCTGTGAACCAGACCGCAACCCATTTCATGATTGGTGAGTCGAGTATTGCATTAGCTTACTTTGAAATACTGTGAAACTAAAGATCGTCATCTCCTTGCTTGGACGAACGGAAAATAGGCAGTAGAATCCTAAGTAACACTGATGCGTTCAAAGCCACGGTCGCAAAAGGAGATCATATAGCTGTTCATACATGGAGTCGTCAGTAGTTATGTTTCTTTTCATCCGCACCTTTTCTGGGAGGCTAATTCCTCGAGGTCGAATTCTTAGATCCCCTGATGACCACTTTAACTGATCTCCAAGTTCTGGGTGAGATTGGTTGGACTTTGCAAGTGATCTTCGTTAG